TCTGCCAGTATCAGCTGTAGGTCTTTCTGGCATGGCTACCCCCCACCTGAGCCACCTCATTAGCATAGCCTGTCAGGTCTGGAGGCTTCTTAGATAATAAAGACACTTCAATCACTGGGGAAATTCCAAGGTTATCCCTCAGGAACCAAGGACAAAGACCAATTTCTTTGGGAAAAGTTACATTCTTTATCCCATAGACATCTAAATATATTCATGGGATTTCTTTCTTGTGATATTTTACATTTTTAATAGAATTAATTGTTTTCTCTTGTGTATCATAGATAATTTTTATATAACTCAATAATGATTCTCCAGGAGATAAATGTGCAACAAGCATAAACACATAATTCTCAAAAGAGGAAAAAGGAAAAACATCTAATCAACACTTGTTCAGTGTACGTGTTCAGTCTCATTAGTAATGAAAGAAATGCAAATTAAAACAAACACGTTATGGTGATTTACCCCCTTCCTGAAATTAGCAAAGGTAAAAAGCAATAGAAATGTGGAACTGGCTAGAGAGCAGTGAGACGGGCCCTCTTATAAACTGAGGAAGGATGAAAGATGGATGGGTTCCCTAGGTTCTGTCAGGTTGCAAGAATTAGAGACATGCTCAGGTTACCTTAGGTGGCAGGGGATTATGGAATAGATGCCCAAGGAAACACACAGTCAGTCATCATGGCACCTGAAATGTTCTTCAGGACCAAACAGTTCTAGTGGTCTGACAGCAGCTTTGGTCATTCAACAAGAACTCTAGCTGTTCCTTCAGAAGCTGGCATTCATTGCTCCCTCCTCTAGCGCTCTGTCATAATGGCAACTTAGGACTCTTTCTGAAGCCTGATTCGAACTGGCTTCATCAAAAAAAAAAAAGAAAAAAGGAAATTCATTGGCTCACTTGACTGAAAGTCCAAGGGTAAGGCTTGCTTCAGAACAACTGGATCTAAGGGCTTAAATGTGGAATTAGGCCTCTCTCTCACTCGCTCTCTCAGCTCTGTTCTTTTAATTGGCTTCCCACTGGAATAGGTCACTTATCATCTAGAACCCTCAGTTTCCTCATCTAGAAAATGGAGCTACAAGCAGCCTACACAAGTATACTGTGAGAAGGCAATGAGATAGAGTATATGTAAATGACTGCCAAGTTTCAAAGGTATGTAATAACTTTTTGAGCATATGTCTCCCTCAGTGGCTGCTTTGGAGCAGTCTTTTAACTTGGCACCTATACCTTCTTCCCTGTTTCTGATTATCAATAAAATGGTATAGATTTTATTGAGCAGGCCTGCCTTGCTTATAAAAACAAACAAAAATCATCCTCTCTATCAAAAATATTAAGAATGAGGAACATTGCGATTCCTTTTTTAAACAGGGTTTTTAAAAATTGAGTTCTATGGTATCTTAAGTGTCTGTGGAGGTATCTCAGGGGCCATTAAGGCTTGGGGGATAGGCAAGGGCTGAATGGGTAAGGTGCCCAGTTTAATCAAAAGCAGCCCTGCCTTTGTGTGTTTTCTACATCATGATTCTAGGTAAGATTTTACATCAAAAAGGAGAGTAGTAATATGATAAAAATGGCAGCAACTTTGTCTGCAAAAGGGAAGAAATAAGCCAGATAGATTCTGGCATTAACGGACTAAAAGCTAATGAAGGCAGAACTGATTCAATCTATGGGAGCAGAGTTGAATACGAGGGATCAAAATCTGGAATCCAATTGAAAAGGAAGGGTTGATCCATAAGAGCCCAAAGTTACCCACGTGTAAATGGCTGAAGCTGAGGTGAACCTCACTCCTTTCTCTAGCTCACATCTGGGACTAAGGATACTGTCATAGACTGAATTATGTCCTCCCCAAAAATGTGTGTATCAGTTTGGCTGGACCATGATTCCCAGTATTGTGTGGTTGTCCTCCATTTTGTGATTGTAATTTTATGTTAAAGAGGATTAGGGTGAGATTGTAACACCCTTACTAAGGTCACATCCCTGATCCAATGTAAAGGGAGTTTCCCTGGGGTGTGGCATGCACCACTTTTTATTGTATAAGAGATAAAAGGAAAGGGAAGCAAGCAGAGAAGGAGGACCTCATACTACCAAGAAAGCGGTGCAAGGAGCAGAGCGTCTCATTTGGACCCAGGGTCCTTGTTCAGAGAAGCTCCTAGTCCAGGGCAAGATTGATGAGAAGGCTGACAGAGACAGAAAGCCTTCCCCTGGAGCTCAACCCCTGAATTTGGACTTTTAGCCTACTTTACTGTGAAGAAAAACATTTCTCTTTGTTAAAGCCATCCACTTGTGGTATTTCTGTTACAACAGCACAAGATGACTAAGACAAATACTAAGAAGGCTTTGAAACGGATGGGCTCAACTGGACCTCTGATACTGTACAGAATGTTAATAATGCTTACCAATCCCCCTTTGCATTTGCAGACCCTGTAACTGGTTCTGATCAATGAGATGTGAGTGGATGTGATGTGTGTCATTCAGCAGGGAGGTGTGAAAAGCTAATGCATGATTCTGTGGACTTTTTCTTTCCTGCCATGGTGATCTAAAGGCCAAAAGCTTCAGATGGTATATCTACAAGATGACGGGCCTCTGTCACTCTAAGTCCTGAGTGGCTGTGCAGGGCAGAGTACCCTGTCTAAATATAAAGGCTACATACCATGAGTGACCAGTCCCTGGAGAAGGACATCATGCTTGGTAAAGTAGAAGGTCAGTGAAAAAGAGGAAGACCCTCAATGAGATGGATTGCCACAGTGGCTGCAACAATGGGATCAAACACAGCAATGATTGTGAGGATGGCACAAGACCGGGCAACATTTTGTTATGCTGGACACAGGGTCACGGTGAGTCGGAACCAACTCTATGGCACCTAACAACAACAACACCACCATGAGGGAGAAATCTTTGTTTTGTTTAAGCTACTTATATTTTAGGGTTACTTTGTTACAGAAGCATAACACTGGGAGGGCATTTGGAGGCTCCCGGAAGGTTTCTTAGGCTCGGAAATTCATAGGGGCTGGCTGAAGACCAAAGCTGGAAGTACTGAGTGAAATGGGGGTGAGGTAAAAAGGGGGAGGGAGTGAATAACAGCTAGCTAAGAAGTCTGGATTTTGTGGGGGAAAAAATATGGCCTTTGGAGTCAAATACACCACCTAGGGTTCAAATTTAGGTTTCACTAGTTTCTCTGACTTTTGGCAAGTTGCCAACCTCTCTAAATCTCATTTTTTCTTATCTATAACCATAATACCCACACTACAGGGTTGCTAAGAGGATTATACACACACACATACACACACAGCTAGCATTTAGCACGGTATCTAACAGCAGGTAATCAATAAACCTAAGTGCCCTTTCTCTCTCTGTCCCTTCTGACACCATTTCTGTACTTGGTAGTTTGCTAAGTTTTGATCTCACACACTCTACAACTGGGACTCCTTAAAGTTTGAGTACTTACTCCAAGGTCTGTACCCCCACATCACCATCAGAGTTCTGAACGGCAAAAGGCTCAGAACTACATGGGAATGCTGCCAAATTGTTTTATTGCTCTGTTCATAGTGCATCTGTACTTTGAAGAGGAAATTGTGGACAGTGTAACTGAGTTTAAAGATTGAGCAAAGGGGAGCTTGTGAGGGAACAGTCTAGAGGTGGCAGGTGTGTCAGCTGTCCAAGGCTCTCTCCTTACTGACATTTCAGCTCCTCTCCTGCCCCTGTTCTCTAACCTTCTCAGCTGTCTCCTGTACCAGCCTCCAGTCTGTTTTGGGCACTGTATTTTTCCCATGGTGACCTTCAAGGAATTTTTTTTTTAAAATAAAACTTATTAGACACTGAAGAGAAGCCTTACGTCCAAAAATATAAATATAAAAGCTAAGAAATCAAAGAGTTTACTGGACAAGAAGTTCTCATCTTGAGTAAACTGGGATTACTCACCAAAGCCTGCGGGCCTTGGAGGCCATAGCTATCAATTGACACCTCCTGCCACAATTCCTAACGTGCAGAGATTAATGAACCTGATTTACCATTTCTTGTTGAATTTTAGTGAAAAAAATTATCCTTGAACCCATCCTGGTTGGACCTGGGGAGGGAGGGTGTTAGTTTTTATGTTAAAAAATTTCCTAGACTGTAGAGAATATGCAGAACAAAATATTTAAATTTTTTAAAAAGAGGCACAGATTTAAAAAAATAAAAGGTTGAGAAATAGTGTTCCAGTTAGTTGGAACCCCGAGTTCTCAAAAACAAGGTGGTAAGAAGGAAGTAGGAGGATAGTCTAAGACGAACATACCATCAGACGGGCCACCCCTCACGCACCAACTTGTAGCATTGTGTAAAATGGAACATTTGTGCTTTCTTGGCTGTTACCTCGTTTACCCTCAAGTGTTTAAAGACTGGCATTTTGGACATTTCATCCAGTCTAACTGTTCTAGGGGGATAGAAGAGAAGCTCTTTTGTTTTTAAGAAGGGGGAACGTTTTAATGTGGGGAACAGCAAATCCATGGATTCCAGAACCCGTTAGTAGCGGAAGGTAGTTCTGAGGGCCTCTATAATCAACCCTCCCCCTCTGCGGTTTTAACAGTTCTTCTGGTTTCCTGTTTCATTCTGAGGCGGGCCAATAACGCCCAGCCTATGAGATGATGGACACCCTTTCAGTTCAATTAGCATCAGGCCTGTCCAGGCTTGGTGGACTAGCTTGCTCCTGTCAGGCCAGAGTCTTCTCTCAGACTTTCCGACCTCTCCTGTACGCCCCAAGTTCCTAGGCTGTTAATGGCTAACCAAAGAAAAAGTACCTGAAAAGAGGACACACATATAAAATAATCCACGTTCAGAAAGGGGTGCTTCTCTCTGCCTCATCCACCTGCATTCCCTCCCCGTGACTTCACACTCATTTAAGAATCCCTGTCTTGGGAAAAGCGGCTTCCCTCGCTCTGCCCACTCCCGGGTGGGTTTCCCGTCCCAAGGCTCCAGCCTCAGCCGAGGGTCCCCCGTGCTAGCCGCGAGGGCTCGGGTCGGCGCACTCCTCCCGGGCCCGCCTGATGCTCCCCGGTTCCACTTTCACTTTCGGTCTCCCGGCGGGCAAGGCAGGCAAAGGTGTCGCGAGGCTGAGCCGGCTCCGGTTCCAGACCCCCAGGTACAGCGCGCCCCTTCCCAGTCCGTCCCCCCGGGGGAAGGGGCTGCGAGGCTGGAGGCGCGCGCGGCTTTCGTATTATCCCTGCGCCCGCTATGGAGGGCCGAGGACCTGGGGCGGAAAAGGCGAGGGGGCTGCGACGTGGTACGAGGCATGCGGTGGGGCGCCCTGGGCCCGAGTCCGCGGACAGGGCGGCGGAGTCGGCGGCCGGCCACCCGTCCACTCGTCCTTGGGAGAAGGCAGGGGACGCACGGCGGACGCGCCTGCTCTGTACGCTCCCCGGGCCCCGCCACTTCTTTGCAGGCGGGCGCCTCCTCTGCGCTCCGGCTCGTGGCGGGATTCACGCCAGCGGCGGGTTCACCCCGACTCCGGAGTGGGGCCAAATGGAGGGGGACGCAGCGGACGACGGGGTTAGACCTTTGTTCACCAGGGTGGGCACCTACCTGATAGTTGCCGGAGAAATGAAGGAGGCTTTGGGTTAACTACTGGCTGGGGGGTGGGGGGGACGGTTAGGGCGGTGTTTTGGAATCCATGCCTGTGTGTGTCCAATGGGTCGATACCATCTGTGCTTCTGTATTTCTTGCCACCAATCAACTGTTTCTGCCCACTTCACATCTGGCTCTAGGCGGGTTTTATTCAGATTAAGCTAGCGTTTGAGCCGAGTTTTCTGCCTGGGTGCCTCAATCGCCAAGTGGGCCTCCAGGTTAATTTCATTAGAGGAAGGGGAAGAGCTGACACCTCCTTATCCTTTTCTTGGAGCTTCTTTGTGCAGGCCAGGTTCAGAAAGAAATGCTGTTTTCTATTAAATGCCCAGAGTATTTGCTTTCAACTCAGGATGTGGTCAACAATTGAAAAATAAAAATTTGTGCACATTTTCAGGTGGACATTAACCTGCATAGAAAAGTTTGAAACAAACAAACAACAACAGAAAACCAGTTGCCATAAAGTTGATTCTGACTCATGGTGACCCCATGTGTGTCAGTAAAATTGCTCCATAGGGTTTTCAATGGCTGATTTTTTAGAAGTAGATCGCCAGGCCTTATTTCGATGGTGCCTCTGGATGGACGAGAACCTCCAACCTTTTGGGTAGCAGCAGAGAGTGTGTTAACTGTTTGTATCACCCAGGGACTCCTCACTTTCCGTAGTGACCAAATAAAAGGGTGAAATAGCCTGTCCAGTTGCCCCTGACTTCCGGGGTGAGTCAAAATTCAGACTCACCAAAAGCATGTAAATAAGGCTTCTAAAATATATTTTTAACTATTCCTGATTGGAAAGTAACGTTAGGTAACAGAGCCTGCTGCACTTTTGTTGACAACATTGACTGTGGAAGATGTTTTTGTATGATCAGATACCAAAAGAAAAGACTTTTTAAATATTTAAAGGAATATAGTCAGGTACAGGAAAGTCCTTTTACAGCTTTATCTCTGCTCTAATCCTGTGTATTTGATTGCCTGCTGGATATTTCCCCTTGGATGTCTCATAGACATCTCAAATTAAACATATTAAAAAATGGGCTCTGAATTTCCCCTCCTCCTTTTAAGCCTGTTCCTCCTCTAGCCGTCTCCAGCTCTGTAAAGGGCAGCTCTGACTACCCAGACATTCATTTTAGAAACCTGGGAGCTCTCCCTGATACCGCCCTCTCCCTCACTCCTTATTTCCAGTCCACCCTAAATACAGATGTGAATCCATCATTTTCTCTCTCTGTTGACACCATGCCAGAACAAGCTACTTGCCTACCTTGTCTAGACTACTTCAGGAACTTCCTAACTGGTCTCCTGGCCTTCCCTCTTGCTCTCTTCCAGTCCTCCACATTCCACACAGTAACCAGGATGATGTCTTAAAACCCGAGCTGGATCACAAGTCTTCCTAGCTCAAAATCTTTCCAGTGGCTTCTCATTGCACTTAGGATGAGATCCAAAATCCTTAACATGCCTTCAAGGCTATTTGGTTACCAATGCTCACCTCTCCAGACTCACCTTGTCCCCGCTGTGTGCTGTGCTTTGGGCTCACTGGCCTTCATACCTCTGAGCCTCTGCAATGCTTGCTGCTCCTCTGTCTGGACCACTCTTCCTTGTCACGCCTTTCTTAGACTTAGCTATAATTTAGACTTATAGTTTAGACTTAACTAAAATTTCCTTAGAGAGCCCTGAATGTAAATCATTCTGCTCTGTTATTCTCTCTTAGTATGTGTGTATTTTTTTCCTTTATATCCCTTAACTCAGTTTGTAACTATATATATATATATATAGTAAACTTATTAAAAATCTATTTCCCCACCTTTCTTCCAACCGTGTAAGCTCTTTGAGATAAAGACTTTATGTTGTTTTGTAATGCTAGTGCCCAGTGAAATGCCCGGCACATAATAAAAACCAAAAAACCAAACTCATCGCCGTCGAGTCGATTCCGACTTATAGCGACCCTATAGGACAGAGTAGAACTGCTCCATAGGGTTTTCAAGGAGCGGCTAGTGGATTTGAACTGCCGACCTTTTTGATTAGCAGCCATAGCACTCTTAACCGCTGCACCACCAGGGCACATAATAGGCTCTCAATAAATATTTGAGGAATGATTGATTGAAAATATTTTAACTCATTTAATCCTCACAACAACCCTATGAGAAAGGTATTATTATTATATCTCACTTTACATGTAAAGACAATGAAGCTGGCGTTAAATAGCTTGCTCAAGGTCACACAGTAGGTGACAACAAGGACTCAAAGCCAGTTTTCTGAATGTATGTATATGGTCCCTGGGTGGTGCAAATCATTAAGGTGCTTGGCAGCTAACCAAAAGGTTGGTAGTTCGAGACTACCCAGAGGCACTTCAGAAGAAAGGGCTGGCAATCTACTGAAAAATCAGTCATTGAAAACCCTATGGTGCAGAGTTCTACTCTGATACAATGGGGTAACCATGAGTTGAAATAAACATGATGGCAACTAGTTATTGGTTTTAACTATGCATATATATGTGTGTGTGTGTGTGTGTGTATACATACACATACATACGTACATACATACACACACACATGCACACACACACACACACACACACACCTGTCCCTGGGGAGTGCAAATGGTTTGCCCCGAACTGTTAACTAGAAGGTTGGTGGTTCAAACCCACTCAGCGGTGCTGTAGAAGAAAGGCTTGATGATCTGTTTCCATAAAGATTACAGCCAAGACAATCCTATGGAGCTGTTCTGTTCTGAAACACATGGGGTCTCCATGAGTTGGAATTGATGCAATGATTATATATATATGTATGTTTTCTTTATATATATGTATCTTTTTATATATACACACAAACACACACACATATATATATACACGCATACAAACACATATCTATTTATATCTCTATTTTTTGAACCACACAGAGACTACCTTGGGTTCTTAAATAAAACAATGTACATTGTGAGACTTCATAATGTGCAAAGGAAAAATGAGTAGAGTGTCACATACGAAATTAGAAAGTAAAAACACAAAGGCTGAAGAAGAGAATTTGTGGAAATGGAAGAAGCAAAGAGACCTGGATTCCATTCCAACTAGCTGTGAACTTAGCTAAGTTACATGAGTTTTTTTGCTTCAGTCTCTTCACCTCAAAGTGGAAATAATAGGTTACTGGAGAGAGATAATGTGTGTAAAGTACCTGACACAATGCTTAAAACTTAATAGGAGCTTAATTTATATTCCTTCTTTTCCTTTCTTGGCTTCTGTCCCTCTGTGTGTGGAGTTTTACTTCAAAAAGAATTGCACTCTTTTTGGGAAGGGGCTGCTTATATTGAATAGACTACTGTTTTTGAGAGCCTTCATTTGAGCTGCATCCGTATTAGAGAATTGTTAATAAAAACTGACTCTCTAAGACCAGCCAGAACCATGAAATGCTGTGTTTCAAAAATGGAACACTTAATATTAGAAGTGAAGCCAGCCAAATAGAGCTGATTTTTCAGGGGAAGAGCCAAACACTAGAACATGATTGTAGAATCCTTGGCTATAGCCTGTTGCTTGGGCTTCACAAGAGAACAGTCATTGGTGAAATCCTTAATTCACTTCACGAGTTTATATCAAGCCCGTAATATGTACATGATGTATTTCTAGGTGCTATGGGAAATACAGAGATAAATATACTATTCTTGTTTTCAAGGAGCTTATAATGTTACAAGAAGGATGTTACAGGTGCATCAGTAATAATTTTATAAGTCAGCATGTGGTAAAATGCCATGAGAGGAACTAAGGAAGTGCTGTGAGTTTCAAAGGAAGAAGTCACTTGTACCTAGAATGTACAGGGATGGGTTCTCTGGGATGTCTCACTTAAGTTGGGCCTTGAAAGATGGGTGAAAGCTGTTGAGGTGGAGGGAAACCTTGAGCAGAGACTTGGAGGGAGGAAAGTACTGGGCATATTCTGCAAACAACCAAAACTCATAGTTGGATTCTAGGACACCTGTAGGGTTTTATGGGAGATAAGGCTGGAGCCGAGCCTTGGTTTCCCACATTGCCAGACACAGAGGGCCTTGGTTGCCTGGCCAAGAAGTCTGAGGTGGACGAAATCTTTTGAAGAGCTGTTTTAGGGAAATTGCTTAGTCTGGTGGCTTAAGGGAGGGGACTTCATTTCAATCCTTTAATTTCAAACATTCAGTGAGTGTTTACCATGTACCAGTCCAATAAGGCACAGTCCCTGCCTTGGGCTGATTAAAAACTTAGTAAAGAGAAACAGACATGTAAACAAACAAGTTCAATATGGTATTACAAGTTCTAAGATAGAATTCTGCCAAGAATTCAGTAGAGAACAAAACTTAGTGGAGCACAAAATTACTGTTACTATTTGTAAACTTCTTCCTACTACTTAAATCAATAATAACAATAATAACAAGGTAGGTAATTTTTCCTTTCAGTAAAGACCTAGTGCTTATGGAAGTTTACCTCATTTATCTATTAACTGTGGGTGAATAAATTCTGATATTTATGCTGTCAGTATTACATGTTCCATTTTGGTTTCCTGGCACTGCGTTGTCCTTGAGTTACAGCCATGTTCTCTTTGGCCCTGTCTGGACTCAACTTTACAAAGTGTTTAATGCGAGCTCTCACCACAAACCCCTCAACAGCCCACAGGTCTTGCTGTCAGCTCAGAACCAGTTGGAATTTTTAGATCTTCTCCCGGGCTGTTGGATAAAACTCGGGACTTTCAGAGTCCTCGCATGCCTGAACCTGCCATCTCCACTGCCCTCTCTGCTATCTTGGACACAGAGCGCACCCAATAATCTGCTGCCATCAGAAATTACAGATGGAAGCAGGACACAGGTTCCATTTACTCTGTGGCCCCTAACTTCAGGGGAAAACCATTATCCTGCCCTAGGATTCTGCCTTAGGAGGTAGGGCAGGAGCTCCTTACCACACTGATGTTTAAGCTTCATTCTCCTCCAGATTGCTCTACTCCTCTGTATCTGGAGACGTTCTTGAGTTGGCTCCTAGACAAAACAAAACAAAACCTGTTCTCCCTGCTCCAGTCTCCTTTCTGCCTCATCTGCATTGTGCCTTTTGAATTGGTATTGTGGTGTCTCAGCAGTTGACTTTCTCTATACTGGATTACTCTCCTTTCTGTTTAGCTTCCAGATCCACCTGGTGGGGGGAGATAGGTAGCTTTAACTGTGTGTTTGGAAGAGGGTAGGATGGAGAGTGAGGGGTTGGGAAGAGCACATCAGTTATTGCCTTGAACTAGTACCCCACCACATAATGTTCAAAGGATAAGAGCAGGGTTGAACCAAAACCAAACCCATTGCCATTGTGGATTCCAGCTCATGGAGACAAAGATTATGTAGGAGGTTCTCAATGCTGACTCCTTAATAAAATATCTGGGATGTTTTTTAAAAAAATCTGATGCCCTGACCTTATCACCAGCTTAACTGTTCTCAGTAGGGATCCAGGCATTAATAGTTTTGAAAAGCTTTCTAAACCATTGCTGTCGGGTTGATTCTGCCTCATAGCGACCCTGTAGGACAGAGTAGAACTGCCCCATAGGGTTTCCAAGGAGTGGCTGGTGGGTTTGAACTGCAGACCTTTTGGTTAGCAGCCAAACGCTTAACCACTGTGCCAGCAGGGCTCTAAAAAAAAGCTTTCTAGGTGATGTTAATATGTAACCAGAGTTGAGAACCACTAACATCTCACAGAAGGAGAATCTAAGGGATCATATCAGTTTGAGGGTTTCACATTGTAGCCTTGCTACTTTTCTTACCTGGTCAGAGCTTGAGGGAATTAGAGCCGATTACCTGAGCTCACCTGGGTTTGATTCCCAACCAATACACCTCATGCGTAGCCACCACCTCTCTGTCATTGGTGGCGTACATATTACTATGATGCTAAACAGGTTTCAGCGGAATTTCTAGACTAAAATAGACTAGGAAGAAAGGCCTGACAATCTACTTCCAAAAGTCAGCCAGTGAAAACCCTACGGATCACAATGGTCTGATCTGTAATCAATCGGGGATGACGTAAGACTGGGCAGCCTTTCATTCTGTTGTGCATGGGGTCGCTGTGAGTCAGGAGCCTACTCAACGGCAGCTAACATTAACAACAAAAACAAATGATTGTTGTCAGCCGTAAAGGTTTTTCTTCTATGAATCTGTAACACAGGGAAGGCAATTTTGCTTTCAGGAAAAGACCTAGTATTTATGGAAATACATACCTATATTAATTCTGGGTGGATAAATTTTGAAATTAAGCTGTTTAAATAGCATTTTAATAACTTAATTTTTTTTTTCTTTTAAACGTTTGTTCCACTAGGTATTTTGAGCAAGAAGAAGATGGTGTCTCTGTCCTTCCAATGGCCACTTGCAACTATGTCATTTCTGCTTTTCTCACTGGTGACTCTCTTGATTGTGTCAGCTCCTTCATGGTGCCAGAGTAGTGACACTACAGCTCCAGAAGCTAGTAATGGGGCACCATTTCCTTGGAATAAAGTGCGACTTCCTGAGCATGTCATCCCAGTTCATTACGATCTCATGATCCATGCAAATCTCACCACTCTGACTTTCTCGGGAACCACCAAGGTAGAAATCACAGCCAGCCAGCCCACCAGTACCATCATCCTGCATAGTCACCATCTGCAGATATCTAAGGTGACCCTCAAGAAAGGGGCTGGAGAGGGGCAGTCTGAAGATCCACTGAGGGTCCTGGAATACACGCCTCACGAGCAAATCGCACTTCTGGCTCCCGAGCCCCTCCTTGTTGGGGTCCCATACACAGTTGTCATTGACTATGCTGGCAACCTTTCTGAGAGTTTCCATGGCTTTTATAAAAGCACCTACAGAACCAAGAAAGGGGAAGTGAGGTAATGCTTTTCTTTTTTTTTTTTTTTTAAGCTTCAAGTGCTGCCCACACTGAAGTCACTTTTTCAGGTGGACCATCCTTTAAGACCCTCTTTATCACTGAACCCTTTCTTTGCTTTTGCATCTTCTTTATAGAGTTAAAAATGGCCGATATTTTTCCCCTTCATTTCCTATTCTCATTTCTTAATCTTCTTTTAACCAATTTTCCTTCCAGTTCTATCTGAATAAATACCTGTTTGTTTATTTAGTTATATTTCTGAGATATAATAAATGGTTTTAATTCTCTTGGCCTATTAGAACATTTTTTTTTTTTCTCTCAGTGAAAACTTTTTTAAGGATCCCCACCTACCTTGTTTTGGTTCTGTTCTTAAGGAGGTAACTCTCTTTGGGAGATTTTACTGTAAATTTTAAAATCAAAGTTTATTTGTAGATTATACAAACTTATTTTTCTGATTCCACAGTATTTTTTAGAGGTAGAAAAGTCAGATGCTACCAAAAAGAATGAAAAAAAATAAAATAAAATAAAATTTATCCCAACCATAACCCCAGAAATAATCACTACTTCTGTTTTACAGGAAAATCCTTCCAGACTTCTCTCTGGATATACATACACATTATTTTATGTAAATGGAATTATATTTTCTGATTTACAGGGAAGTTTTTATATAATATACAGGGGAGATGTTTTATGTTGATGGCTATCAATTGCATCCATATTTTAATGATTTACATTTGTGCATTGATTTATTTAACTAATCTCTCATAGATAGAAATTAGGTTGTTTCCAACTGTCAGTATCAGCCACAACCCTTTGATGAACATCTTTGTAATTGTACCTTTGCATAATTTATTAAATCATTTTTTTAGAATAAATGCTTAGAAGTAAAATTGCAAAGTCACAGTGTCTACACATTTGCCACATCTCCTCATCCCGAACCAATCCTTGGCAACTAAAAAGAGCTAAAAGCCCAACAAATGATTTATCCCCTTGATTTACATTACTTTAACTATTAAGGAACTTGTGCAGCTTTTGTTTTCTGTACTGGCTATTTGTGGAGCCCAGGTGGTGCAGTGGTTAAGCGTCGCAGTGTGCTATGGCTGCTAACCAAAAGGTCGGTGGTTCGAATCCACCAGCTGCTCCTTGGAAACCCTATAGGGCAGTTCTACTCTGTCCTGTAGGGTTGCTATGAATCAGAATCGACTCGACGGCAACAGGTTTGATTTTTTTTTTTTTGGTTTATTGGCTATTTGTTGATTCTTCTTTTGTAAATTGCCTGCTTATGATCTTTCCCTGTATTCCACCTGTGTTTTTTTTTTTACTAATTTTTAAGAGCTCATTATCTATTAAGGCTACTAACCCCTTTGTCAAATATGCTTTTTTCACCTTCTTAGTTGTCTTTTTTACTTGGTTTATAATAGCGTTTGCCATATAAAAGATTATTTTTTTTTAGTAGTGAAATCCATCAATCTTATGGTAACTTTAGGAATTAAAAAAAAAAGAAAAGCTGTTTTAGAGTCAGTCCCTGGTGCTTCACGCTGGATTTTTATTTCACTGGTCACAATTTTAGGGTACTTGCATCAACGCAGTTTGAACCTACTGCAGCTCGAATGGCCTTTCCCTGCTTTGATGAGCCTGCCTTGAAAGCGAGTTTCTCAATCAAGATCAGAAGGGAACCAAGACACCTCGCCATCTCCAATATGCCTTTGGTAAGCCTCAAGTCCTGTATTTCCATTCATATGAAATATCTACTGATTTGCTGTGACTTTCATTACCCTAGTGACAGTTCACATTGGGGCCACCTGTTTTGATTGATTTACTTCCTGACAGGTAGTTGCTAACCTTTCTTTTTCCAACCTATACTTTTGTTTTAATCCACTATTTATTTTAAGTCAAAGAAAGAAACTCCCCCTCCCTCACAAAAAAAAAAAAAAAAAAAAAAAAAAAAGGGCAGGATTCAGAGGGAAACAGATCAGATTCAGGATATCATGAAGAGTGACATTCCAGATCATCAGTGCTAATAAGTGTTTAACCGTTTGTGCCACCCAGGGATTCCTGAGGGTGGGTAAAAGGCACTTAAAAAGAAGAGGTAATTTGGGGTCCTTCAGGAGCAAACCTAGGTTGGTTATCAGTCAGGGTGGCAAGCAGGCACCGTAGCTGGAGAGTATTAAGAAGAAGGAGGAAGGCATAGGAATAGAGGTGGCAATGAGATTACAGGAAAAATGCATATTATCCTGGTTTTCCCCAGGCTAGTTCTGGCTGGTCTTTATTCCATGGTCCTTCTTCAGTGTTTTCTGTCTGCTGAGGCACTCGATTTTCTCCTTTGGGAACAGACCTCTTAAATTCTACCCCTATCACCCTCGCCTTACCCTGCAAGGCTGCTCCCTGATTGCACTTAAAAGCTGATTGCAATGAAGCAAATCAGAGTTTGGAAGAGACTTTGCAGGGTCAGACACAAGCATACGTTGCTTTTGATTTTACAGGAAAACGGAAGCTCTTTTTCGGTTCTGCCGGGTTATGTATTAGCCTAGTTTAGAACACAGACTTGATTTGCATTTGCAGATAATTCTCGGACCTGCTTCTCTAGACAAGTAGATCACATCTTTGCAAAACCAGGAGGCTCAGTTTTGCTTTGTATCAGATATGGAAACCCTGGTGGAGTAGTGGTTAAAGAGTTCAGCTGCTAGCCAAAAGTTCAGAATATGAGTCACTTTATTATCATCTGAAATATTTAAAAGAAATTGAGTGGTGATGGTTGTACAACTTGGCGAATATACTAAAAACCACTGAATTGTACACTTTAAAATGGTGAATTTTATGGTGTGTGAGTTATATGTCAATAAAAAAAATTGAGTAGAATAATTTGATCTTAATATCAGCCATAGATATTGGAAAGAGAAAATTTAAAATAATTATATAAATATCACGCCGTATATTTTTAATATTATGTCTGGTAATTAGGAAGTTTTCTCTTTATAAAGTGTTTTCAATGTATTGGATAACTGGACTGTTTGATAATTTGAGTTATTCTAATTTCAGGTAAAATCTGTGACTATTGCTGAAGGACTCATAGAAGACCATTTTGATGTCACTGTGAAGATGAGCACCTACCTGGTGGCCTTCATTGTTTCAGATTTTAAGTCTGTCAGCAAGATGACCAAGAGCGGAGTCAAGGTGAACCTGCGATTATTACATTGGTTGATCATCTTGTCCTGGTTTGCCTGGGACTGTCTTGATTTTAAAATGGAAAAGTCTCACATCTTGGGAACCCTCTCAGTCTCGGGCAAACTGGGATGGGTGGTGACCTTATTGTCCCAGAGGCTGTATTTCACAGTGATGTTCTCGTAACAAAAACATCGCCTGGCCTGACTCATAGTCTTTGCTCCACCACTAACCTGCTCTCTGACCTTGGGGCTACCTCCTCTGAACTTAGCTTGCGCTTCTGTAAAATTTGGAGCCCTAATGGCACAGTGGTTAAGAACTGGGCTGCTAAGCAAGAGATGCATAGTTTGAATCCACCAGCTGCTCCTTGGAAACCCTATCGGGAAGTTCTGCTCTGCCCTATATTGTCGCTATGAGTTGGGATTGACTTGACGGCAATGGGTTGTCTTTAAAATTTAGAAATTAGAGTAAATCCTGTGATGATTTATAAGGTTGTTTCTGGCTATAACGTTCTACACTTTGGAAGTGAATGTCACTGATTATCTGAGCAGGGGATTTCTGGCTGTGGGAACGAAGTAAGAGAGCAACCAGCTGTCATTTTGTTTGGCCTCTAAGTCTTCCTTATTTACTTATTTATTTTTTGCCACCTCATGAAAACATTTTAAAAGATATTTTCTGTATATGTTATACAATGTTTGTTTTCAGAAGAATGGTTGATCAGGTACAGTCTGGATTTCTACAGGAAATGGAACTCCCAAGTGTATCCCTTAATACTGGCAGACATATCCCTCTGAGGCTTCAGACTGAACGTCAGTCTTCTCACAGTTGTGGAGGGAAGTCGCCACAGTATTCAGATGCCTTTCTTGTTCCTCTCCTCAGGTTTCTGTATATGCTGTGCAAGACAAGATAAATCAGACTGAGTATGCACTGGATGCCGCCGTGACTCTTCTAGAATTTTATGACGATTATTTCAGCATTCCATATCCCTTACCCAAACAAGGTAGACATTTTGCCCAGATACTAGAAATTGTGGCATTTGATGACTCTGGTCATAGATTATATCCTCATAATTGGCTCCCCCATAGTTAATTGCAGCAGCCCCTCAAGTCATAAAAACCCCAGCCAATGCTAGACATCAGGTTGCTCCTTCTGAGTATCTCCTCATCCCAATCTATGCAATAAACTTCTATAGACAGTAAAAGCAGGTAGTAAAAGAAGTTCTTGGGGCAAATGGCATGGGGACAATTTTACTCTCCAACTTAAAAGATAAATCCAACTATATTAGTGGGCAGATGCAGTGGGCAGAAGATGTATTTTTTCATTATTGGCACATGCTTGGTAGAAATATAGAGGGTGCTCAATACATTTTTTTTTTTGAATGAATAAATTTACATAGCATAAGAGAATCTATATTTTCTTTCTTAAATGAATATTTATAATGATTATGTTTAGGTTTTTAGGTATGTGTGGGCCTGTGGAATTCAAAATACAGTAGATTGTTGAGGTATTTGTTAAGGTTATTCAGTCCTCAGACTCCTCAGCAGAAAGTTAGAAATGGAGTCAGTAGGGCCACAGCCCAAATGTGGCTTCATCTCACAGCAGCAGAGTGACTCTGAGTGAGTCACTGAGTCCCTTTCCTCCATCGTGAAAGGGAACCTTTGGCTCTTCAGTCTAGAATTCCATGATTCTGCACTGGCAGCTTAGCTTTTCTTTTGGTCCTGAGTCCCATCCATTCTGAGGGTTAATGTGTTTGGGCTAGTTTAGAAATTGGTAATGTATTTTTATTCTTTTTTCCCAAGATCTTGCTGCTATTCCTGACTTTCAGTCTGGTGCGATGGAAAACTGGGGACTGACGACATATAGAGAATCTGCTTTATTGTTTGATGCGGAAAAGTCTTCTGCATCGAGTAAGCTTGGCATCACGATGACTGTGTCCCATGAACTTGCCCACCAGGTATAGATGCCAGTCACACTTTTAAAAGGGGTATTGAAATTACATTTATACTGCTTTTATGGAACATTTGAGGCTCTTCATATATTGTGTTGATCATTTTTTACTTTGTCTGTTTTCTCATAGGGAAAATTATTCCTTTAATAGGTTTAGGTTTCATGTTTTATAATACATATTGAAGGGCTTTTCTTTGTACTTTAATAAAATACCAGTACTATAAATATATGTTAACATTCATAAACTGACATTAGACATCTAAACTCTATTTCCTTCTGAATACCTCATGTTTATGGCTGTGTAGATAATCCAGTCTCCATAGAGTTGTGAGAATAATCAGAGTGTTGTTTTCCTTTCAGTGGTTTGGGAACCTGGTCACCATGGAATGGTGGAATGATCTTTGGCTAAATGAGGGATTTGCCAAGTTTATGGAGTATGTGTCTGTCAGGGTGACCCATCCAGAGCTGAAAGTTGTAAGAAGTCTTTATTTATTTATTTATATTTTAAGTTAGCCTGTTGTTTTGTTCAGTGTTGCCAGAAAATATTTACTCATCTTTGATTACAGAGTTCACAGAATGATTTAATTAATAACTTCCTTGTAGCTTTAGATATGGTTTAAAAATGCTAATGAACTTTTGAGGTATATCATAAAGACTTATTTCCAGACTGGGTTGTGAATCTACAATTGTTATAAAATTAAGTGTAAAGTTTTGTGTTCTTTTAATATTAAGGAAATAGAAAGGATAGCGTGCTTGCTCTGTATCATTCCCTCAACCTTCAGGTTATTCATTGCATAATATTAGGTACAGATCACTCTTATCTCAATAGGATCTTACTTGTCAAATCAAATGAATTATAGTTAACTGCAAATTTGATTGCGTATGAACCTAGACTCATGGGTCACCAAAAAAAAATGCTTTGGAATCAATGTTTATTTTAAAAATTACGAGCTTAACTTGTGAAAATCACATGTAGCAAAATTAAAAGGAAACTTAATGTATGTAAAAAACAATCCTTTACCTTACTACAACACTTGCATTTCTGCGTATTCATTTCTTGTTTTCATCTTCTAGGAAACATAACTTAATCATATATAGCTCTAGTTATAATGTTCACATTATCATTACACTACCCCAGAAAACCAAACCCACTGCAATCAAGTCAGTTCTGATACACAGAGACCCTACAGCACAGGGTAAAACTTCCCTGTAGGGTTTTTAGGACTATAAATCTTTACGGAAGCAGACTGCCACATCTTTTTTCTGAGGAGCGGCTGATGGGTCGAACCACCAACCTTTTGGTTAGCAGCCGAGCACTTAACCACCGTGCCACCAGGGCTCCTTCATTACACTACAATGGATCACAAATATTTTCCTATATTTTCACATAATTTTCAACAATGAAAATGATCATGGATGCATATTATTCTATTGGGTTAATGTGCTCAAATATATCAGTCTATGGCTGGAATTTGTTCTCTTTTTTTTTTCTTTCACTACATGGTTTTAAAGCTAAATTTATTTGCTTACAATAGTATAGATGATGATTGGAAATGTTGAAATAACTAGGAATGGTTTTGTTGCTGTTTGTGCTATTTGGCTGTAGATGTAATGGTTTTGTTTTTAAGTTAATATTATTTTTTTTCTATTATAAAGTGATAACTCTTTAAGATGAACCAAATCTAAAATGTTCTCCTAATATCATTGTTTCTTGGGTGCTCTTTAGAAAATGGTAATTCTATTTAATTTCATCAACTCTAGAAATGTGGAATTGGTTGGCCCAGAAATTGGAAGTATAAACATATTACCACAAATCAAACCCTCCTTCTTGCATATTTTTTGTCTAAATGTAAGTAATAAGCGATGCTTTTTTTCTTTTTTATCTCAATAGGAAGATTATTTCCTTGGCAAGTGTTTTGATGTGATGGAAGTAGATGCGTTGAATTCTTCACACCCTGTGTCCACACCTGTGGAGAATCCTGCTCAGATTCGGGAGATATTTGATGATGTTTCTTATGAGAAGGTATAAAGAGATTATGAATACAGTTTGGAAACTGACGTTATAAATACTGGGTGGACAGCTTATAAGTATGGTTGTGGATGGCTTTTCCTTCAAAGGAGCAACTGAGATTGAATGCCTTCTATTCTGACTTGTGCTGGCTAGATTTAATTATTTTAGGCCTAATTTGCTGTTTGGCTTATAATTCTAAAGGTTATATTATGGTCAGTTATTCATTTACTCTGTCCTAAATTAAAAAATCATGGCCTGTGGAAATTGTTCCTTTTATTCATCAATCAACATGTAGATATTGAGCATCGACTATGTACCAGGTGAAAATTCCTGCCCTGTTTAGTTTACCTTTCAGTGCTTCAGACTGGTTTATTTTGTTGAACTGCACAGTGTTGTCCTGCACAGTGTGTTTAATAACAGAGTTAGAAATTGTTGCTGACATTTAATAATTGGGAAGTTTTATACAAAAATACACATTGCAGGTTTCTTTTGAAAACAAAATAAAACAAAAAAAAATGAGAATTTTGGCTACACTGGGCCTGAATTTTCCTTAGTAACATTGGCTGGCGCTGAGTTGTGGCTCCTTCTTTATAAGATCAGTGTTCTGCTTTTCCACTACTCTTGCCATTCTTGATCATTTCTATTGTCTTCTCCTCACTGAGGCTGAGGGTGTGTTACCATTGATAATTCTGGTTGGCCATTGTTTTTCTTGTAGCAAACAGAAAGTAAAACATTTCTTGCCCTCATGTCTCCATCACAAATGCAGGGGGTAAAAAGGAGTAGAAAAGAGTATTTTTCTTACCCTTGAACTACATCCCTCATTTACATCACTTGTCTGGCTTCTGTAGGCACTTGAGTTTGTGACCCATGGTCTACAATAATGGGAGTGGAGAGGGAAGGAGCTCTTTACACAGGAACACAGAGTATCTGAGAATTCTCTTGCTACCTTTCTCATTGTTACTCTTGCTCTCTCAGCACTCTGTTCTCAAGACTGCCTGGGCTCTCTGTACCTCCCCACTGTTCCTTTTCTACTTCTGCTTCCATCTCTAGTGCTCCATGTTGCATTGTACTCCTGTATCTCAGGAGTGGCAGTGGGAGAGAGAGGTGGTGGTTCAAGGTCCAATGTTTAATTTGCACTACTGTCCATTCACATGTGAATAATGGCAACTGGCAGATGATGTTAATTTGCCTCACAGATTACCAATAGAAAATAATGGCCCTAGTGAACTAAAAGCATAAACAGTCACGGTAGACAGATACTTTGCCTAGACAAATCCACCTCTGACTGCTTCAAAAGTTGTTACAGATGATACTGTAGTTACATTATAAAATAATTATTCCAAAATAAAGTGTGAAGGTAGATTAAATTGCAGCCAAAGTATAGATAACAGTTGTTCATATTATCTTTTCAGGGATCTTGTATTCTGAATATGGTAAGAGATTATCTTGGTGCCGATGCATTTAAAAGTGGCATTGTACAGTATCTCCAGAAGTACAGCTATAAAAACACAAAAAATGAGGACCTGTGGAATAGTATCGCAAGTGTGAGTATGCTTTTGTGTATTGCTACAAGTAGGACTGACAGGCTTAGTTTGTGTGGTTTTTTTAAATCATATTTATTCCTCCAAGAAGAATTATGAATGTTTTCTATGGAAATGAGAATAATGTGCTTATTTTCTGTTTTTAGATTTGTCCTACAGGTGGCACACAAGGGATGGATGGCTTTTGTTCTAGAGGTCAACATTCATCTTTGTCCTCAGTAAGTCTCTGCATCTGTACATGTTACTCCAGAGCACATCCTTTTACTCCATATACTTCAAAGGACATCTCTATGTCCGTCTTTCTCAGGTCCTTGATTATATTACCCTTTGTCTTAGTTATCTAGTGCTGCTGTAACAGAAATACCACAAGTGGATGGCTTTAACAAAGAGAAATTTTGTCACAGTCTAGTAGGATAAAAGTCCAAACTCAGGGCCTCAGCTCCAGGGGAAGGCCTTCTCTGTCTCTCTTTCTGTCGGCCCTCTCGTTAACCTCCCCCCCGACCCAACCCTGGACTAGTAGCTTCTCCACACAGGGACCCCAGGTCCAAAGGACACGCCCTGCTCCCGGCACTGCTTTCTTGGTGGTATCAGGTCCCCCACTCTCTGCTTGCTTCCCTTTCTTTTTATCTCTTGTAAAATAAAAGGTGGTATAGGCCACACCCTAGGGAAACTCCCTTTATATTGGATCAGGGATGTGACATTAGTAAGGGTATTATACAATCCCACCCTAATCCTCTTTAACATAAAATTACAATCACAAAATGGTGGACAACTACACAATAGTGGGAATCATGGCCCAGCCAAATAGATACACATATTTTTTGGGGGACATAATTCAATCCATGACACCCTCTTTCCAGATAAGACTGCATTTAATTATACGAGGGTGACAGCCTTTTGCATTTTTCTTAAAAATTATCTATAAAAGGGGGTTGCACAACCTTCTATGGTAACACTTCTCAGTGATACTAATTCCGTCAGCTTCATTCTCTGTAAAGCAGTTAATTTATGGCATGTTTGTACAGTAATTAGGGCTGCATTCTGTCAGTCAGCAGATGTGTCAGTCATTTCCATAGCTCTGCATTTGTGAAACAAACAATGGTGGTGAACAATCTTGAGCTCTTACTCTGAGTCAGGCACATGCTAAACACTTATGTGCAAGTGTTTACTCTTACTCTTTACAGTAAATCTATGAGTGGTATGAGTGAGCCGCTATTATTTTCCCCATTTTTACAGATGGGAGTATTAAATCCTAAGACAAAAAGTTAGTAAATTGCAGAGTAGGGACTTGAACTTAGATCTAACTCAAAAAAAGAAGCCCATAATTTTAACTGCTAAGCTACAAAGTATTCATAATATCTGAGTCTTATGAAACAGTCTGAATCTCTGTTTATCTGCACTTGTGGAATAGACAGCTGAGGATGATTCTGGAGATTCAGCAGGATATTATCCACCATGTTTTTATTTCCTTGGATTTTTAGTTTTTAAACATTGCTTTATTCTGTGGTTTCTCGATTTTTCTGTAGCCTGCTTTACCCTTTTACTAGATCTTAAATATTTTCTTAAAAGCTTTTTAGTATCAAAGGACTTATCCCTTTCGAGTTTCCAACTCTTTGCTGAGTATTAGCCACCTCAGTGTTAGCACTCTGGAAGCACAGATTCTTAACTGAAAAATTTTTCCTGCCTTGCTTGTTGAGAGAAAGTGTAGTTATGTAGGTGTTGAAACTCTGGCCATTTTCTCTCCATTCATTCATTCTTGTGACTGCCTTGTTCCTGATGCTATGCTAGCCCAGCAGAACATAATACTTTACTCGCTGCCAAGATGTCCATATGTAGTGGAGGAGAGTGAAAAGTAAACAGGACAGTCAGTGCCCCAGGGCAGTGTTGTGCCTGGGGCAGTGGGAAGGGAGCTGGGCCGGGAAGGGGGCTAACAGAGGAAGGGATCAGGAAGAGCCTCACGGAGGAGGCTGTCATCTGGTAGAGAGAGGCCCTCTGAGCACAAGCTGGAGTTCTCACCTTTCTTACGCTGGGTCTAAGTGGGTGATGCATCTGCCTTTTTGTGTATAAACCAGCACTGGCGTCAGGAAGGCCTTGATGTGAAAACCATGATGAACACCTGGACGCTGCAGAAGGGCTTTCCCCTGATCACCATCACAGTGCGAGGCAGGAATGTGCACATGAAGCAAGAGCACTATATGAAGGGATCTGACGATGTCCCAGAAACTGGGTAATGTTGACAGAGTAAAACTTATTTCATTGCCTCAGTAACATCTGCCTTGTGGGATGAAACATTATTTTTAAAATAATGTCCTTACCTTGATCACTAAAATGTATCAGTGGAATTTACCTGTCCTCTGAAGTTAACTTATGCCCCACCATCTTCCCAAAAGATTCAAGGTAGATTTAAACCTTGGTTAATTTTGGTAAAGTTGATGATATGTAATTATTTTAACATTCTCATGTTTTGTTGTTTAATAGGATGGTAATTTCTAGGTTAAACCCCCAAACCAAACCCATTGCTGTCAAGTCGATTCTGACTCATAGCCACCCTATAGGACAGAGTAGAACTGCCCCATAGAGTTTCCAAGGAGTGGCTGGTGAATTCAAACTGCTGACTTTTGGTTAACAGCCAAGCTCTTAACCACTATACCACCAGGACTCCATTTCTAGGTTACTGCCTTGAAATCAGCTTCAATCTGAGAATTTACCTCTAAATTGCAACAGTGATGGCATTTCAGTTGGAACTAAGGACATAAAAGTTTAGATGATCTGGGAATTACGAGAGACCAGTTCTCTTCTTTGGAACCTATTTGTCAGCTTAATGTTACAGAAACACAAGATACAGAAGAATACAAGATGCTGCAATTTGATTGACCCTGAATGGACAATAAATATTTTTTTAAACTTTTTATTTTGAACTAATTTCAGGCTTATGGAGAGGTAGCAAGAATAGTATAAAGAATTCCCATATATTCATTACCTGGATAAATGTTAACTGTTCACCACATCTGTTTTATCATTCTCTCTCTCTCTATAAATACTGCATTTTTTTTTCTAGACTGTTTCAGAGTAAATTGGAGATGTGATGCCCCTTTATATCCCTAAATTTTTCCATATATTTCCTAAAAATCGACATTCGTATATATACCCACAGTACAATTATCAAAATTAGGAAATTAACTTGATATAATACTATTGTCTAACATGTAACCCTTATTCAATTTTTTCCAATTCTCCTAGTAGTATCTTTATAGTTAAAGAAGCAAAATCTGGTTCAGGACTCAATACAGAATCACATGTTATATTTAGCTTTCATGTCTCCTTTTTTCCTGAAAGTTTCTCAGTCTTTCTTTGTGTTTCTTGACCTTGACATTTTTAATGGTAGTTATTTTATAGAATGTCCTTCAGTTTGGGTTTTCAGATGTTTCTTCATGATCACCTTCATGTTATACATCCTTGGCAACAATGCCACAGAAGTGATGTTGTGTCCTTCTTAGTATATGATTTCAGGAGGCACATGATGTCCATTTGTACAATAGCTGGTGGTCAGTATTTTTAAGTTAGGCCCTCTGAGCCCCAATTGGCCAATCACTGAAAAGACTTTTAGGGCTCACTTGAGCCCAGCGTCCTAGGTTTACTCAGGGAGTTCAAAAGGATGAATAGTGCCTAAGCTGGCACCCCCTACAAAGCTACAAAACAGGCTGGTGGTATTTTGAGCTCTTGGCTATAGCAGTTTTGGTACCATCTGGTCCTCAATTAGCCCACACCTATCACATAATAGGTAATTTAATTACCACTTGCTGAATTGAACCAACAAATGAACAGTCCATCCCTCCTCTCTTTTAGATACCTGTGGCATGTTCCATTGACGTTTATTACCAGCAAATCAGACTCGGTCCACAGATTTTTGCTGAAGACAAAAACAGGTAGTTTATGGTAGAAATAACGAGTCTAATTCAAGAAGGAACTGTGGAAATGGGTAGGATTTAAATACTTTGTTTGTTTTACTATTTATCTTGGTCAAATCAAAAGGGGCCTGGTTAATCTTTATCTTAAGCCAATCTCTGGTTTCCAATTTCTAGTGAAAAAAGTGCGGTTGAAAATATTGTCTGCTTGAGAAAAAAGAAGGTCAATATCTTGCCAGATAGAAATTAAACAGTTGAGTTATGTAATGGTAAAAAGAAAGGATTTCTGGTGAAATTCCCCGTGACTTCTTAACATTGCTGACTTGTATCCTATGTATGGCTGCATTCTTTTCATAGATCTATAAATCTCACAAAATTGGTGTCTAAAGCCCATGATGGCTTTTGTGTATTGGGTTGCTGTTTGCTAGTTTCTAGAAGAAATAATGGATAATTTCAAATTGTTCAGTGTTAAACTCTTCTTTAGTTGTCTTGTTCAATCCCTGCACTGGAAAAGCTTTCATCAGTCAAGAGAGAAAAATGGAGCTATGATTTATTTTATCTGCTATAGATGTGCTCATCCTCCCAGAAGAGGTGGAATGGATCAAATTTAATGTGGGAATGAATGGCTATTACATCGTACATTATGAGGATGATGGATGGGACTCTTTGACTGCTCTCTTAAAAAGAACACACACAACCATCAGCAGTAATGATCGGGCCAGTCTCATTAACAATGCATTTCAGCTTGTCAGGTAACACAAGCTACACAAAGTCTTGGTATATTCTGAAAGCAGCTGTTATCGTTCAAATTTTTGATTTCTAAAGATGGAAATGATTGATTGCTAATAAGAAGTTGAAGGGTGTTTGCCCCTAAGCTCTTCTAATAATCCAAGGTAGCTTTTAGCCATTGATTAACTTCCTGTCCATGCTGCTAAGTAACTTGAAGGAAGGAATGTGTATTTTAATCTTTATCATTAACAACCGGATCAGACTGAGGCAAAAGTGTAGAAAACCAGGAGACCAGCATCTTGTGAAGCCCTCTGGCTCCTCGCTGCCTGCTGACCCTTGTCCTGCATGCTTTTTCTGGCACTGTTAGAATATATCAGATTTCTCCCCTGCCTGGACATTGAACAGTCTTCAAGACTTCATAGAATGAGTGGTCCAGGCCCAAGTTTTTTGCATTATATCTCTTGGATTAAAGGAGAGATTTTTTTTTCTTCTAAACTATATATCTGAACTTTATAGCACCTTTATGGAAAGCAACTTATAAATTTTGACTCAAGTAAATGACCTTCGAGTACTTGAGGTTAAAGTGAACGCTATTCAAATTTTTTTTTTTTTGTCCCATGACAGTGGTTCGTAAGAAATGGTCCCCCAGTCTAAAACTTAGATTTCTTCAATATTTAGGTAGAACTGAAGTCCTAAGGGGAGCCATCCAGGTAGAAGGGATAGCTCTACAATATTCTTCTCACAGCCAATATCCCTATGTATGTTGAGTTCTTCCTTCTGGCCTTGTATCTTGCCGCCACACTAGGCCTTCCAGGGTGACAAAAAGCAAAGAGGTTGCTTATCTAGCTGTTTCTTCCTGCTAAAAATACTTCCCTCCATAGTATATTTCTGCTTAAATCTTAGAGGGTTTTGTGTTTACTTATGTAAGCCTACCATACCACTAAGGTTTTCACACCAACGCTCCATAGTGAAGGGTTCATATCTAGATTCAGTTTCTTCTTGAAGTGGGAGAAGAAGATGTGTCTATTCTAGGGACTCATCCTTTTCACTGAATGGCAGTCTCCCTCGCCAGGCTTCCTGAAAGATCTTTGATCCAAATCCCCTGCATACTCTGGAAATTCCACACACAGTCCAGTGTTTCACAGAGGGACAGGGGCTGACATGCTTCCAGTTTGCTTTAACCACACATTAGCTTTGGTTCTATTAACGCTTGAAAAACTTCCTTCACAGTGTAAACATATAAGATATTGTGTTATGTGTAACAGAAAAGCTACCAATATAAAAATCATTGCTTATGAGGGGCATTTATATCTGATTGAATGTTTTGCTGGATGATTGTTAAAATATCTTTTGAAGCAAAAAGTTGATTTTCTGGATTTTCTTTTACATTGCTCATCATGGTGTCTCTTGGTCAGCGTTGGAAAGCTACCCATTGAAAAAGCCTTGGATTTAACCCTGTACTTGAAACATGAAACGGAAATTATGCCTGTGTTCCAAGGTTTGAATGAGCTGATTCCTATGTATAAATTAATGGAGAAAAGAGATATGAATGAAGTAGAAACTCAATTCAAGGTAGGAGCCTGAAATACATTGAATAGTTACACAACTGTGGTTTGTTTGTTCGTGTGTGTGTGAAAAAAAGCAGAACATACACCAATTGTATATATATTTCTTTATATTAAAGAAAAGCAAATGGAAATTAATTATTTGACTTGATTGACAAAAATTTGGAGTTTATTTTGGCATTAAAAATAGGCATGGCATTGTTAGATTCTGTACGAAATTTTCTTGGATTCATTATCACCTTCCTTGTTCAAATCCTTTATTTCATTTACTACTGTCTTATGATGGTTAACATCAAGATTTTTCTGGTACTCAGGTACTTGAGAAAGAGGTACAAAATTCTCATTTTTGGCAAAATGTCATGAAGTCCTATTGCATAATCAGCTTTCAAAATTTAGTTATATAAACTGTCTCAGTTTGTTTTAAAAGTAGCAGTTCATCCTGATTGTAAGTAGATAATGATATCTTTAGAAAAGACAGTTATGTACATATTAAAGTAATTCATCATTATTTCTTATTTTTAACCCCTTTTATAATTAAATATAAATAGAACTGTTTTCAAAATAAGAGAGATTAAGCTTTAAAAAATAGCCACTATCACCTGAGGGTGCAATGGATTATGTAAACATGAGATTACCTGGGACAGTAATAGTGACACATGTCGCTTTCCCCGTGCAACACCCGCAGGCCTTCCTCATCAGGCTGCTGAGGGACCTCATTGATAAGCAGACGTGGACAGACGAGGGCTCTGTCTCTGAACGAATGCTGCGGAGTCGGCTCCTCCTCTTTGCTTGTGTGTGCAAGTACCAGCCATGTGTGCAGAGGGCAGAAGGCTATTTTAGAGAGTGGAAGGAATCCAGTGGAAATTTGAGGTCTGTCTGTACTGAACAACCAATGTGTTAATGTGAAGGATGTCTTTTCTATTTCCATCAGCAGTGCTTAAATGTTAGGAGAAAACAAATATAGACAAGTCTCCCCTGTTTCCCTTTTCTGGGAAATAAATTGCATTATAAAATTTATCTATTTATCTCCCACTTCCTAGTCTTTAAGAAATGCAAGGAAAGACTTCTGTGCACAAAAGTCAAATATCCGACAGATTAGAATAATTTCCATTTTATATAGCGAAGATACACAACCTTATCAGAACGAAGATGGCCATGCAGGGCCAGAACAAAGGCATTACATCTTTTTTTTTTAATATATATATAGTTTATTTTATTTTTGTTCTTGTGGTTGAGAATATGCACAGCAGAACATACACCAATTCAACAGTTTCTGCGTGTACCATTCAGTGACATTGATTACATTCTTGGAGTTTTGCAACCATTCTCACCCCTTTTCTGAGTTGTTCCTTCCCCATTAACATAAACTTACTGCCTCTTAAGTTTATCTGATCTTTCGAGTTGCTGTTGTCAGTTTGATCTCATATAGATAGATGTTAAAACAGCACAATGTTCAAGGCAGACATTCTTTACTAGTTAAGCTAAATTACTGTTTGGTTTTAAGAAGACTTCAGGGGATATTTTTGGTTTAAGGTTTAAATATTATCTCAGGGCAGTAGTTTCGAGGGTTCATCCACCCTCCATGGCACTAGAAGATCTAGATTCCATGAGAATTTTAAATTCTGTTCTGTATTTTCCCCCTTTTGATCAGGATTCTTCTATAGAATCTTTGATCAGAATGTTCAGTAATGGTAGCTGGGCATCATCCAATTCTGGTCTCATGGCAAAAGAGGCAGTTGTTCATGGAGGTGATTAGCCACACATTCCATATCATTCTCCTGTTCCTGACTCCCCTTCTTCCTCTGTTGCTTCAGGCAAATAGAGACCAATTGTTTTACCTTGGATGCTACTTGCAAGCTCTTAAGACCCTAGGTACTATGCAACAAATTAGGAGGTAGAACAGAAGCACTAAACATGTTATTAGGCCAGTTAACTGGGATGTCCCATGAAACCATGATCCTAAACCTCCAAACCAAGGAACCAAATCCCATGAGGTGTTTGGTTGTACCTAAGCAGCCTCAGCAGCTACTTTTTTTTTTTTTTGTCATTGTTGTGCATATACCTATCATACAACTTTTGCCAATTCAACTTTTTACAGGTGTACAACTTATTGACAGCAATTATATTAATTGGCTGGAGGTAATACATCTTAGCTTCCGTGGGCCATTGTTTAGGAAGCGTTGAGTTACTCTTTATTGTGATGGAAAATTTGGCAACAGTTATAGGTGATGGTTACATAACATAATGTAATTGGTGTCACTAAACATAGGTAAGAAAAACATTGAATTGTCAAATGTTGTAATATACATGTAATAAATATAGACAACGTTTTTTAAAAAGTAGCTTTTGTGGGTCTCCAAAGTCCCTGTCAGAGGTGCATAGTAATTGCTGACACTGTCCAAGCAAGCTAGGATGTTAACCATATCTGGAACTCTTATTCTTGCTACCCTTCAGCCCTTTTACATTTGGAGCTTAAATCCCACCCAGGAAACATTTATGCCAACAACCAAAGTGCTTCCATTTAAAGAGATACTTACCAGCAGTGTGTTCTTCCTAGTTTTCAAACCTACCTCAGTGACCTCATCCTGGGAGAGGAAGCCATTTTCCTACAGGAACCCTCTCTTATACACAGAACTGGAAATATAAGGATTGGCCATTGATAGAACTTTGAGGACAAACAACTTAGTGGATCGTTTGTTTATGCCCCCAAAGGATAGACCCTGGTCTTTTCTCCCAGGTTAACCAGGAAAGTCGGTTGTATCTTATCCTATTGAATTTTTGACTTGTGTGCTTAGACTAAATCTTGAGTCTAGTTTGAATTTCTTTCTTTTGGCTTGAAAAGTGACTATGTATAGAGTTATCCAGCATCATTAGAGTCTGCAGCATATGTAGATATTTATAAAAGTGGCATTTCACATTACATTTTTGGGAAAGCTACTTAAAACCTTTAGAGATTTTCTCTTGATTTTCATAAAATGTAACTGAAAGGAGGAAGTAATTTTTGTCTGTATGTGCAGGTATGCTTCTATGATTATGGGGCCTATTCATTAGTTCACCAATGTCACCATTTTGCATCTAAACGCACTTGCTACATCTCAGACTCTTACTGGGAATATTATTTTCCACAGCTTACCCAATGATGTGACCTTGGCGGTGTTTGCTGTGGGGGCCCAGAACACTGAAGGCTGGGAATTTCTTTATAGTAAATATCAGTCTTCTTTGTCCAGTACTGAGAAAAACCAAATTGAATTTGCCCTCTGTACGAGCCAAAATAAGGAAAAGCTTCAGTGGTGAGTAATTCATTTATGTTCAGTGTGGCCAAGAGAAATTAAATTAGATCAGATCATTCTGGCATCTATTTTTGTTCTCTTGGCCAGGACTATCTATTCTGCTGGGGACATTTATGCAAGTAGGCACACATCTAATGGGTATGGCAAAATAATTAGGGAGGACTGTGTGTTAGGGATGGAGTGGCGCAGTTCGTTATGCATTTGGCTACTAACCGAAATGTTGGCAGTTTGAATCCACCTAGAGGCACCTTGGAAGAAAAGCCTGGCTATCTACTTCTGAAAGATCACAGCCACTGAAAACCCTATGGATCCCAGTTCTGCTCTGAAACACATGGGGTCGCCATGAGGCAGAACTGAGTAGATGGCAACTAGTTTTTTTTCGAGTGTTAGGGAAAATAATTAAATGAGTATATATCTGAGAATCTTTAATGCTATAACGTACTTAGACATAAATTTACTAGAGATATCCTTCTTAGCTATTCTTTGGAATAAATGAGAGACTAATGAGAATGGATATTGTAAACACCAAATAAATGTGAATTTTTATTATTATGTAGCTATAGAGGGTTTATCAGGGCTCTGGTTACCTATTTACCTTTTTGGTCTTTATTACTGGCAGACTGGTTCCCCGCCCCCCCCGCCCCGCCCAAATTATTTTACTGCAGTCATTCTTAACAGTTTCATTACCTATTCATTGCTAACATTTCTTCTCTTAATTATTCTAGGTTATTAGATCAAAGTTTTAAGGGAGATATAATAAAAACTCAGGAGTTTCCAGGTATTCTTATGCTTATTGGCAGAAATCCAGTGGGATATCCATTGGCCTGGCAGTTTCTGAAGGAAAATTGGAATAAGCTTGTACAAAAGTAAGTCATGTCGGAATTATTCTGTAACTGGATAAGTTTCTTAACTTTGCTGTGTTTTAGCTTTGTTGTTTATAAAACAACAGTAACAGTCTAAAAGGATTTTATGATTAAAGATAGGAAACAGAAGTACTTGAAATATCTCTAGGAAATGAGAAACTCTAATTCAATGCTAACGAATGAATCTGGACAGGAATATTTTCCATTCCATCTGGAATCTTCTCTTCCTGTGTCCATCAGCCTTTTTGAAGCCTTCCTCCTCACAGTTTAGCCCACGTCTTTCATTGCCACTTCTGCTTGTCTGCATCTGCTTTTTTCTAACTCTTGTAACACTTACTACCTCTAACTTACTATCTCTATGGTCTTCTCTTGGGTACTGTATTAGTTTCCTGTGGCTGCCGTAACAAATCACCATAAACTTGGTGGCTTATAACAGTATGCATTTATGAGTCGGAATCGACTGGACGGCAATGGGTTTGGTTTTTTGTTTTGGTTTATTTCACAATTCTGGAGGCTAGAAGTCTGAAATCAAGCTATTGGCAGGGCCACACTCCTCTGAAGGCTCTAGGGAGAATCCTCGCTTGCCTCTTCCAGCTTCTAGTGGCTCCAAGCATTCCTTGGCTTGTGGCTACATGGCTCCAATCCCTGCTTCTGTCTCTTCTCCCCTGTGTCTTTTCTTCTGTCTTTATAAGGACATTTGTCATTGGATTTAGGGCCCGCCCTAAATCCAGAATGATGTAATCTCAAGATCCTTTACTTAATTACATCTGCAATGCCCCCTTTCAGAAATAAGATCACATTCACAGGTACTGGGGATTAGACTTCAACATAGCTGTTGGAGGTCCACCATCCAACCCACTACAGATACTTAATCTTTTATTCAGCTGTTGGTGTGTGTTTTAATTTTTTACAACTAGATCTTAACCCACTGGAGGGTAGTGATCATGTCTTACATCTCTCTCATGCCTACCCAGTTTTTAGTAAAATGCTGTAACACATATAAGGCACCTGAAAATACATGTTAAATAAATAAATATTTCACAGTACGTTCTGATAATTTCCATTTCTAGGTTTGGCCTTGGCTCACCTTCCATAACCAACATGGTAATGGGAACAACAAATCAATTCTCCACAAGAACTTGGCTTGAAGAGGTAAACACATCTTTCTTTTTAAACTTGTTAAGTGACAACTGGCTGATAAACATGGGGTAGACAAAATATTTTAAGGGATGAGTTAGAAATACATTTGGTCATTTAGAAGTTATTTTTAGATGCTGTGCATAAGCAAAAATCACTTGCAAATAAACTAGTGAAAATCGTGCCCCTTCCTGAGCATGTTAAGAACTCTTAACTCTGTCATTATAAAACTTTAGGACTTAACATGACTTTAGAGATTTTGTCCCTATTTCAGGATGCTAAAAGTGAAAAGTTAGAGACATACACAATGGAAGTGATCACTCAGCTATTGTGAAAGAGGCAGGTCTGGACTCTAGATCTCCTCTATCCAAGTTCAGTGATTTCCTGTTATTTACTATAAATCCCGTCTATTTTCACAGGGGACTCCAGGTAACTTGTAAGACCCATATATAAAAGAAATATTAATGTAAAGAACAAATAGCTGCATAATGGACATAATTGTACTAGAGACTTAGGCTGACTTAGGTTACTACAGTTGAACCCTAAATTTATTACAGAGCTTCCTAACTATCAAAGAACAGTGAGAAAATAGGATGAGTTCTCCTCCTTATCTGGTAAACAACGACAACAACAAAAACATGAAACATACAAGTTTTCCGAGAAGGCAGACTTTTCTCCCTGCCCTAAACTCTGAGGAATTTGGTGTGTGGGTCATTGTTCTGTGGTGTCTCTTCTATAATGATGTTTTCTATAGTGGTGTGGTGGTCGCGATGAGTCAGAATCAACTTGACGGCAGTGGGTTTTTTTTTTTTCGGTTGTGGTGGGAAGATTTTTACATAGTTTTTAAATGTTTAAATAAATGTGTCTAAATAAAATCTGAGAGCCTAATATTAAATTTTTAGGAATAGCTCCATTGTATAGTCTGGTTACACAGTGACCTAACCTGATGTAGGGCGAGAGCTATGAAAATGCAGAGGAATGAAAGGTTGTCCCATTCCTTAGCTTGTCTCCAGATTTCTGTCACCTCCTCCAGGCTTATATAATTAACTTGCACATAATAATTCAAGCTTGAACTCCAGTTAGGTCTCGAGCAAAGGTGTTCTGTGTGATGACTGAAGAGCTGCCCATAGGCTTTGGGACCAGATCTACGGCAAGAAAACATTTCATTCGTTCATTTGTTCGTTCCAGTATTTTCTCATTAGTTAATTCATTCAGGACTTATTTACTATATTCTTATGTGCCAGGAATGGTTTTAGGTTTTGGGACTACAATGGAACAGAACAAAGCTTCTACTCCGGAGGAGCTTAAATTCTACCAGGGGAAGCAGTTAATTACAGACAAATAAATCAGTCTATGTCAGGTAGCTACATGCTCTGAAGTAAGGCATGGTAAGGAGATCGAGTGTGGTAGGGGATTATGCTCTGTTCTCTAGGATGATCAGGAGATATGTGACCAGAGATCAAAGAAGCACAGCTATCTAGGGGAAGAATGTTCTGGGAGAGAAAACAAGAGCCTGAGGCAGGGCACAGAAATCAAACAGCCTGAGATATTGTCGTCATGGGGAGCATCTGCTGACATTGAAAATGTGGGAGTTATCCTGAGTCCTTCCCCTCACATCCAGCTCATCACTGCATCCTGTTGGTTCTGCCTCCATCGTAAACACCATATTCATCCACTTCTCTCTTCTGCTCTTACCCCAGTCCAGGCCTTTCCCTTCTCTTGCCTGGCCTGCTGCAAAGGCCTCCTAACTGGCC